TCAGTCATTCAGGCTGTCAAATACTGACGTCTTGGGTTGCCAGTAAGACCCAGACTTGACTTCAAAATGACAAACACGTATGAGGTTTGATGCAGGAGGAGCCTGTACAGTCTATTTTTAGGATAAAACATGGGTGGTACGATGGTACAGTGGTTAGCACTGTCGCCTCACAGCGAGAGGGTGGTGTCAGCCGGCTGGGGCCTTTCTGTGTGGAGTCTGAATGTTCTGCCCCGTGTCTGTGTGGGTTTCCTCGGGGTGCTCCAGCTTCCCCCCACAGTCCAACAACATATAGGTTAGATTTAATGGTGACCCTGTTTGATGTGTCTATGTGTCAGCCCTGTGATTAACCGGTGACCTGTCTACCCCACCTCCCGCCCAATGTCAGCTGGGATTGGCTCCAGTCCCCCCCACAACCCTGCAAAGGAGAAGAGGTTCAAGATAATAGATAAAAACAAACACTAATGTTCCCACAAGACTGTGTGTTTCTGCTAGAGTGGTAGTTTTCTGCCCTGGCTGTGTTTGCTTTCACATTTGGGCAAGCAACAAGTCTTGTACACCCTCCCTCCCCCTTTTTTCAGTTTCCACTGTGGTGAAAACACTGAGCGTATCAGTCTGAACGAAAGCCACAGGAAGACTGGCCTTCAGCTCTTTGCTATAAAACCACACGCAAGAAACGCTGCACATACCTCGAGATACCTACAAATACACACACCACATCTCAACAGATTCAGAATCTTTTATAAAATAGAATAAAATGTTAAATAAAGCTGTTTACGGAATTGGTCACAGGAGCAGACCGCAGTATGTAACCTGTTTGTAGTGATGTGTGAACTAATTGCTGTGATTAGATTTGAAATATAGTTTCCCACATGTGAAACAAATGTAAATTGTAAAGTTTTAACTGGACTCCATTCAGAAAACAACTTGCAATGTTAAGGCCCTCTAACTACTGTATAAAATCGTCACATTAGTGCATGGACAACAAGCTCAGGCTTCTTCCCTCCCATGTGGTAATTCCAAACAGATACAGGTCAGTCTCTGTTCAACAAGGAGACGTTTCACTAAAATATGATCAAATTATAAGAAGAAGAAGGTAAAATGAAGGGAAGTGGGAATAAAGGCAGACGGTTTCAAATAAAGGCCAAGTTCTATGTTGTGAATTTTGAATTGATGGTACTGCAATGATTACTGAGTTACTGCCCCCTTTCTGTTTTTTGCATATATGCCTTTCCACTGTCTTACCACAATATAACAAGATCACTGTTAGTTTAATCTGCACTCAGCTAGAGTTTGGTCCATAGCTTGACTTGCATTGCATTATATGGGTGCAAATTCTGTTCGTATCTATCCTCCTACGTTTGCACCAATCTGTTCTTTCTCTGCACATGTTGTGCTGTCACTAAAATAGAACACTTTGCGTGAGTGGTATGGTAGGTTATGTGGTCAGTGATTAACACGTAGAAGAACCTTTCTCTTTAAACCTCCTTCCTGGAGATTTTAGCCTCCATTACAGCAAGACGATCATACGCACAATGATGAGCTTTACTCTGATGATGATACCAGCTTTATTTCTCTGCAGCCTCAGTAAGTACTGGTATTTAATTTCTCTCAGTGTTAGTCCATGGCTAAATTCTGTTTAGTTTATAGTTTCTACTGCAATGTTTTAGGGTCGTTTTAATCTGTTTGTTGTTGCATTATCAGCTGAGAACTAAATCTCTCTGCTGTGTGTTTCAGGCTGGATCTCTGTCTCAGGTTCTGAGTCTCAGACTGTGGAGGCCCAGCCTGGTGAAGATGTCACACTGCTGTGCTCCAACTTTTCCAGTTCTCCCACTCAGACAGTCTGGTTCACACTGGTAAACAGAACGCAGCCCCGTTGTATTTCCTCCATGTACAGTTCTACTGAGCCTGCTTCACTCTGTGATGGAGTCGAAAAGGGCAAATTTGAAATGAGCTCCAACGTCTCCACCGTCTTTCTCAAAATCAAGCGCCTTGATGTGTCTGACTCTGGGTTGTATTTTTGTGGATTTAACATGAACAGATACTCAGTACTTGTCAGTGCAACATATTTAAAGGTTCAAGGTAAGAATTGTCGTACAGTGTCCTTTAGCTGCCAGCACAAAGGAAACAGAATGTATCTTATTTCAACGTGGTCAGAGATAGATTGTTAAGGAAATATCCTGTCAAAATCTGATAATTAATGTGAGAGATTTTTTTCAGTAGCACATTAAATGTTCTCCCTTCCTCTCATTAGGATTTAATATGCAGGTTAGAATTTGTGAACTGATATTGCATCAGTCAACAAAGGTCATTAATCAGTGCTAATATTAGATTTCAAGCTAGTAAAGTATAAAAAAGTATTTCACTCGGAAATATGCACAATATATGCTACTTGATCACAGTTCAAGTAATTGAATGATCTTTCTTGGGAAGTTTTTTTTTTTTTTTTCTATAACAGGCAGTAATAATAACAACAGACAGACTCCAAATCAAAACCTTTATTCCAACATGACACAGGATTTGGAATACAGTTATACAGTGTGGTAGTTCTCCATGCTGTTTTTATGACCTTGTGAGGGAAGGGGTTGCAGAGAGCTGAACGTCAATCTTCCTGTGGTTCATGCCTCACCAATGATACAGACACTTCTAATAGTCAGACATTTTGTTTTTGATTCAGACTTTTAGCATATGATAGGGATTCTATGATATCGGTTACATTTCTCACACTGATGGACTGTATGGTTTTTCAAAGCCTATAGACAAATGTCTTGCTAAGGCTTTGGGAAGTCAGCCCGTATTCACTGCTTCTATTATTAGAAAGCTTTGATCTAACGGCCCTCATGGTTTTCACCTCAGTTATTCTCCGACCACGCTGTACCGTCTCTTCCTGACAATGTTTCTGATAAGCAGAGTGAAAAGAAATGTAAAGAAATAAAATGTTAAGAATTAAAACTGCAGTATGAAGATGCTTGCAAATGAATGAACATCAGATCATTCTTGCAAAATGAATTGTTTTGGTAGGAGTGGTTATTGCTGTTAGGAACAAGGCATTCAAAAGCTCTAAAGCACATTCATATGATAAAGCATCAGTTCCAGTTGCCTCCTCAGTCTATCTGGTGGCAGCATAAATAACATTTGGCTCCGGCTGTCTTCTTTTTGCCTTTGGTCGAAATGCCACTTCTGAATGTGGTGACTTGACATGAATTTAAGCCACCCAAAATAGCAAGATGGATACTGGACTTATGAGGCCGATACCAATATTGATATTTGGTCAATTTTAATTTCTAAATACCTACGATTGTAAGACTTTACAACACGGTACACGTCAAGAACATCCTTAATCCCTAATAAGCACTTACTGAAATACTCCAAATCCAGGACTACATAGCTATATATACTATATTATGAACTAGAAAACATTGCTGGGGAGAGGGACGTATATGAAGAAAAATGTTAAAATTGGATTCATCTCACTTTGCTCTGGTTTTTGTTCTTCTTTATTGGCTAAGTAACAGAAACAAAACATCTGGTCAGTTCATTGATCATTGTCTTTGGTAAACCAGCAGTTAAGGATTTTTCCAGCACATTGACGCAACTTTAAGAGCATTTCCACAAGCAACAAAACCAAACGTAAGATAGACAAAGTACCTCTCTGAAGTTTCCTGTTTTTGACAACCAGACCAATGATGACCATTAGACCAGAGTCAGATGGTAATGGATGGACCTGCTCTATTTCCCCTTTAGAGTGACCTGGTTAAAACTGTTTCGCCCCAAATTTGATAATCTGCACAGTAAAGAAAGCTTTAGGAGAATCTTATTCTGACCACTCATATGAGCTCACTGCCCCTAAAGACATAAGGACTTGATTTATTTTGGCAGATTTTCCTCTTAATAACCCTTTTTCCCTTTTAATTCCCCTTTTTTTTGTTTTTAGAAAAAAAATTTTAAAAAAAAAAAAAAAAAAATAAAAAAAAAAAAAAAAAATTTAAAAAAACCCTTAAAAAAAAAAAAAAAAAAAAAAAAAATTCCAACCCACTTTAAAAAAAAACAAAAAAAAAAACAAAAAAAAAAAATAAAAAAATATACACTTAAATTTTTTAACCCCTTTTTTATTTTACACTAAATACAGATAAATCCACATGTTTGATCTTGAGAAAGACAGTGGAGATGTTGGATGTCATTTCATATTTTTCCTTTGAAAATCCGTCGCCGTACACAACAGCGTTATCTGAGGTTATTTTAACAGTGATACAGCTGGCCTTGGTTCTGTTGACCAGTTTGACCCAGAATGTCACAGAGTTGTAGTAGTTGTTTTAAGTTATACTTCAGACCATGTTATTTGACAATACTTTAACAAGAGATGCTGCTATTATGTACAAATGACAAATTCTTTACTTTAGATTCCCTTATGCAAAATAACAGATGTACATAACTATTGTTAATCCTGACCATAAACAGGATCTCAATCATCAGCTCAGCTCAGGTTGTCTGTTAATGTATAATGCTTAAAATATTTTTTTAAATGACCTCTGCTGCTCAAGTTTTGTAGGTGAGGAACTATAAGTTGTCCTACAGTTGTGTAGACAGTTTTGCTTAGGCAGGATCTTTTTGTTTTAGTACAGTGGTGGTTTGCACAGGCAGATTTTCAGTGGGTCCGTGTATCTTTTGGTCATTGGATTTTCCTTTCAGAAACGGGTATTAAAAAACAGAAAACAAGTGGTTATTTGATTTTCGTTTCAAAATACAAAAATTAAAATTGAAATACACGGTGTTATTTTTTTTCATGGTCAAAAAGGGATGAGCGAAATTTAAAAAATTATTCAATTTTCAATTCTGAGACGGATGTTGTCATTTACAAGGCAAGAGCGCCAACGCCAAATGTAAAATTGCCAGTGTGCCAGTGTTGCCAGGCTAAAATGGCTTTGGAATCCTACTCTGATGGGATTTTGGACATGGCGAAACAAGGCCTGTCATCCACAGAAATCTCGGTGTGCATATTACAGGAAAGTGGGGGCACAAGAGGATTTTCTGCAAGAAATGTGAGGAGATTTTGCGCTGAAAATGGGTCAAGCTTGATGGGACTCCCTGACGCACATTTGGAGTTAGAGGTGGCAAAAGCTATAACCGAGGTATGAACCTGCTATATCTCCCCTTTGCTACTTAGATTTGTGTGTGTGTGTGTGTGAGAGAGAGAGAGAGAGAGAGAGAGAGAGAACATGCATAGACGTCTATGTCCCGCATCTCTAAAGGGATCCCTTAGCAAGTTCAACTGGAATTTTTTATGCCCGTTTATCATGATTATAAATAAAATAACCCCAAAAAAAAAAAAAAAAAAAAAAAAAAAAATAGTAAATAAATACAAAATAAATAGCCTCAGCCTACCATAGGCTATTTGTAAGTAATCACAGTAAATATAAACCTCACAGCACTGACAAATCCCATAACACAAACACCCACATGCATGCACACTGCATTAATTTCATGATAAACCTATATCAGCTGATATGATTTTGGAATATGGAAATCATGTTAATTTGTTATTTTCTAGATGGGACCTACATATGGAAGAAGGATGATAAAGGGGTATCTCGCTATGAAAGGAGTGCATGCAGCAGAGACACGAATTGGATCAGTGCTCAGAACTATGCATCAGCCTTACCATGAAGCAAGACGTCAGGTATGTTACTGTCTGTTACTTGTGGAATTTCTGTGTAACTATGAGCTAATGTGTGTTTTTTTTGGTGTTTGGTTAGTTGCAGTTATTTAGCCCGTATAAGATTAAAATGCCATCATTTTTATTTTATTCATTTATTTGAGAGGGACAATACAAATAGGCATTGTCACATTTAGAAAACCTGCAACCAATGCAGTGTATATAGGACTAATGGGATTTTGTATACAATGAAATATTTACATTGTTTTCCTCTCTCTTTTAGGGTGCCCGCAATCTCAACCCCATACCATATCAAGCTGACTACATGGGTCACAAGGTTCATATGGACCAAAATGAAAAACTGGCTATGTTTGGGGTCACCCATGTTTTAGCCATTGATTGCTTCCGCAAAAAGGTTGTTGCTTATTCTACAATGCCTATAAAAAACAACCTTGCCATCTATGAAGATGTTTTCAGGGAATAGCCTATGTTTTGTTGTGGACACTAAAGGGATAATCTGTCATTTCTTCAAGACAATGTTTGTTGGCCAATATATCAATATTATATCAACATCGTGATATGAGACTAGATATGGTCTGGGATTTTGGATATCATAATAACCATGATATGACATAAGTGTAGTCTCTTTCTGGTTTTAAAGGCTGCTTTACAGTAAAATGATTTATTTTGCGATGGTCATTTGCAGACATTATTCTCTATTCATTGACCTGAAACCACCTATCAATTTATATTATGCCTTTCAGACATGAGAGAAAAAAGAGAGGCTGCAATTGACGAAATAACAACATATATTGTTCCCAAATAAATACCAGACGATACCTTAAGCCTTTGAAATAGCTGTACATATTGCATACACATGGCTACTGCTTTCCTAATAGAATGTGACTAAATGATAATTGCTGGACATCTACATTGTTATGAACCATATTATACTGAGAATAACTGATTTGGAAATTAAAAATTATTCTTTCATCCAATAGGCCTGCAGTACTTGCCTATGGTATGTGGGACCAGGTGTGAGTAGATCATGGCAAGGAGTTTTATTTGACGCTCTTCATGCAGGAGCAGCTGTCATCTCATCGCCATAATCAGGAGAGAAGGCCTTATTTACAGACTTCATCCACAAGGGTACAGTTCAATAGTTTGTGTGGTTGCTTCAGTAACACAGTATTTGTTGTATGCCTGCTTTTATTATTATTACTTTTATTGGGTTTGCTTCAGCAGCATACTGTTTTCTTGGTTACATTATATACATTTTCTTTACTATTGCTAGGTTTTCTAAATGTTAGGGTAAACATATCAATAAACATAACATTAACCTTGGCCAAGAACAGCTTTCTTTTTATAATATGGTTAGTGTTTATTCAAACTTTATATTGTAGTTACATGATGTTTTTTTATGTTACAGTCCATTTGGGAAAATGGTCCTTAAGCAGAATTCCTGGTAAAACTCTCAATTTACTAGCTCAGTGGTCAATGCACATAATACCCATTTAGGTGGTCAATATGCAGATTTCCTGGTAATTATGCATAATGACTGCTGAGTTGGTAAATTTAAAGATTTACTTGGAATTCTGCATAATGACCATTTTTCCTTAATGGACCGTAACATATATATTTTTCATTAACCCACCAGAACGAATATACTTATGACAAATCTTTGTGCAATTTCAGAACCATATAGTTGAACGAGTCTGGCCTGAGGTCAACAATTGTGTCAATTATCCACTGAAGACAGCCCTTCTGCAGTTGGTGGATCAAGAGGAACTAGACATGGACGACAACCTTGTGAGATACTGTGTGTCCAACCTGACTGGCCAGTTGTGCCAGATTGGTCTCACAAGGATGGTGGACTCATGGAATGCTCACCGAATTCCAGGTGAAATAAACCAGTGTTGCGAAGATTAAAATAATTACAACGGGCATTCATAAGTTTTGAGACCAACAGTATGTTCTTTATTTTACAGGTAAAGGTATACCAAATGACTTGGCTGGCAGTGGGTGTCCCAAAAAAATCCCACAGGAGCTGTTGCCTCATTCAGCTGAAGCAGCAGACCTTCACGGACAACAGCTGGGATCCTCACTGACAACACATTCTGCTTTTGGAGTTGATCCATTTTCAACTGAACAGGACAAACTTACAGTCGAGAATCAGTTTGCAGAGAAATATTCGACATTTCAGACTTAATGGACCGTAACATATATATTTTTCATTAACCCACCAGAACGAATTTACTTATGACAAATCTTTGTGCAATTTCAGAACCACATAGTTGAACGAGTCTGGCCTGAGGTCAACAATCGTGTCAATTATCCACTGAAGACAGCCCTTCTGCAGTTGGTGGATCAAGAGGAACTAGACATGGACGACAACCTTGTGAGATACTGTGTGTCCAACCTGACTGGCCAGTTGTGCCAGATTGGTCTCACAAGGATGGTGGACTCATGGAATGCTCACCGAATTCCAGGTGAAATAAACCAGTGTTGCGAAGATTAAAATAATTACAACGGGCATTCATAAGTTTTGAGACCAACAGTATGTTCTTTATTTTACAGGTAAAGGTATACCCAATGACTTGGCTGGCAGTGGGTGTCCCAAAAAAATCCCACAGGAGCTGTTGCCTCATTCAGCTGAAGCAGCAGACCTTCACGGACAACAGCTGGGATCCTCACTGACAACACATTCTGCTTTTGGAGTTGATCCATTTTCAACTGAACAGGACAAACTTACAGTCGAGAATCAGTTTGCAGAGAAATATTCAGACATTTCAGACTAGTTCTCTAGAGCAGTGAACAATGACTTTGCTCCATACAAAGAGGCATTGCTCTATCTCATAACCACAACTCAGCGCAATGTGTGAAAGGCCATTGCTCTGTTTGAACTTACAGAATGTAAATGAGTAACAAGAACTATAAGTTGGTGGCAATGGGTGTTTGTTAAAGACAAATGTTAATATAACTAAACAGTGATGTCAATAAGAACAGTGCTCACATTTTCAACTTCCTTCTTCACACCAATATGACATCATCTAGCCCAAACATTTTAAGAAATTCACATCAATAGTACAAGAACTCTAACCCAAATTTTTGAATTGATAAATAAACGCAAACACAATATGCCTATTTGTGAGTATAAAAGTGCAGAACAGAAAATGCCTCTGACAGACCAGACCTGTGTTCTCTCTACATTTTGCACAGTGCACAGAGGTCTCCACAACAAAAGCAACGGTTTTTATTTATGAATGTAGCTTGACTATGTCAGGGAAGCTTCTTATGAAATTCATTCATTCAAAACAAGACACTTGTTTCACACACAACAAAACAGCAAGGGGGGTGGGGGTGAGCTCAATTTCTATCCCTGATTATGGGAATATGTTTTTTAAAATACATTTTTGTCCCAAACATTATAGAAGCCACTGTATATACAGAAGCAGTAATGTCCAAAGGGTAGGCAAACAGGTGCTGATTTGAAAAAAAGTTTTTTTTATTAGTCTGAACAGCAAAGGTAAGGATACGTCTAAGTAAAAAAAACACAATGCAACTCTAGGAAGTCCCGTTCTTGTACAGCAAGAATCTTTCGCGCATTTTGCTTCCAGTAGTGTGACCCTTTGGAGTGGAGGTGGAAACCAGGAAAAACCATTACAGCTTAAGTGGTTGGTTCAGTCATGATTAATCATGTGCCATCTAATTTTCAATCAAAGTAAAGACTTAAAAGTAAAACTAAATTAATGTTACCCACCTGTTGTTCCTTCGGACTCCAAAATTGCATTACCCTGTGCATCAGTCAATACCATGGGGTCATGACTTCCAATGGCATCTTGCACTTTTCCGATGATCCCCTGAAGGGTAGCCTCACATTCTAAAAACCTCCCACCAACCACCTCAGCAAGGTACATTGATCTGGAAGAGTATCATATTAAAATAATTTCTATGATACAGGGAATTCATAATCCTAGCAATGGTTAATGTGTTTTGTATATTAACAATAACCATATATCACCACTTCCTTGGCGGAGGTTATGAAAGTCAGTGGAAAAATGTTAAAATGTGCATAATGCAAATGATGTACAAGTAGTATTAACTATTATTACACTACAACTAGGAAGGAGACAAAGAATGGCAACTGGAGTTGATATGATCATATCAAATGTTAACTAGGTGTTTTGCAATGAAATCTAATTATTTTTTACTTCCCATGCCATCCCATAACTAGTAAATTTGAAAATATAAATCGTATCACCGTCATTTAACAAGCAATTTAGGCTAATGTTACCTTTGAAATGTTTTAGAGACAGTGGCTCTGGGGACAGTGGCTCTGGGGGGGGGGCTGAAGCAGTTGCAGGAGTTCGCATGAATGCAAAACGTTGGCCCGTGTTATTTGAAGCTGATGATGAGGTGTCCTCCTCCTCACCGTTAACCTCATAATGGGCTCTTGCAGTAAGGTCGAATGAGCTGAACACTCCAGATGGTCCCGGAAACAAGGCCACATTTGCATCGTTAGTCAAGTACAGACTACGAGTTGAGACCTGTCAAGAAAGTGTTCACTTAATGTTACAAACCTTTCTCAATGAATATTCTTCAGTGAACACTGAGAGAGAAAATTCTCCAAATGCTAAATGTCTAAATGGCATTAGTTACATATATACAGTATTTAAGTGATAATCGGCCACGACAAGGCGGACTTCTATTAGGGTGGCCATTTCCTTCATATCAAAAAGGAGCACACTTTGCATACACGGGGACACGCAAGCAGATATTTGTTTGGTATGATCCGGTTTTAAATTCGAATATGTATTTCCACCAGATTACATAAAGGTGCATATACATACCACATAGCTAATAATAAATATACAAGATACAGCTCATGACAACGTGCCCTTCAAATTCAGATTACATAGGTCTAATAAACATCATACAGAAACTGTTCTTAATGTTTTTATCTGGATAGATAAAGGGTAAAAAAAAATGCAGCACCTTCTGTTTCAGAGTATGAGCATTTTCAGAATTTCAGTCCAACAACCTACGTTCTCTGTCACTGAGAGCTTGATTGACAGCCTGGTGGTAGCAACTGCTGTGATCTGTGTTGTGGCCAATCAACACATGGCTCATTTGAATATTAAAATTAGCCATGTGTTGATAGGTCAACATGAAAATGTAACCAAAGAAATGATTTATTTTGACACACATTTTTAGCCAGTAAGTATTAAACCAACAAGGTAATGTGTCAAAATGTGGACCTCAAAAGGAGGACAAACGAGTGTCAGGCTTAAAAGCGGGACGAATGGCCACCCTAACTTCTATCGAAACAGCTCCACTAAAGGGGAAAGTTAGGCTAACAGGCTAACATCACAGACTGACGCCCTGGAGTAGAGTTTTTTTTATTTTTTTACCTGAAATATGCAACTAAGTTTTTCTGCAGTCATGTCTTCTTCCCTGAGACACACTCTTTTATTGTTTCGGAAAAGGGACGTACTGCTCCATGTCCACGTGTCACGGTTGATTACCCCGCCGCAGTCTACTAGCCTACTGTTTCTTCTACACAGCACCGTACTGTAAATCCCGTTTCTGTTTTCTAGTGATTTTATTTTTTGTTATATGGAATAGAAATTGAAAATCGATTCATTTCGCTCATCCCTTTTTGACCATGAAAAAAAAACGCCTTGTATTTCAATTTTAATTTTTGTATTTTAAAACAAAAATCAAATAACCACTCGTTTTCTGTTTTTTAATACCATATCTTAATACAGATGTTTTGTTTCTGTCACTTAGAATCCAGAGCAAAGAGAGGTAAATCTAGTTTGAACAATTACTCATATACACTGTTTGATAGAGCCCGATGAAAAACAGCCAGGGCTATATTGACTCACTTAATAACTTTATCACAATTCTTCGTTGTTTCTATTGACCAAATAATAATATTGGTATCTGCCTCAAAAGTCCACTATTGTTCTGGCTATAGGGGAGTTAAAATAATGTCAAGTCACCACATGTAAATACTCTTTTCACAGAATGCAGGCTCTGATGATGTGAACTACGCAGCAGTGGCATTTCGACCAAAAACTAAAAGAAGAGAGCCGGAGCCAAATGTTATTTATTCTGCCACCAGATAGACTCAACTGGAGCTGATGCTGTATCATATGAATGTGCTTTAGAGCTTTGTATGCCTTGTTTCTAACAGCAATAAACACTCATTTAAAAGCATGTTGATACTGCAGAGAATCAATTCTTAGTATTTTATTTCTCTCAGTCACTGTCTAGGTCTGGTTCTGAAACACTCTATGGAGCTTCTTGTAGAATCACAAGGATTGTCTAGAACGGTAACAATCCGCCACAGCAGCTGCATCGAGGCCCGAGTGTGACACAGCGGTGCTCAGTTAAATCAAGGCCTTAGAAGCATGTCGTCAGCAGTAGAGGGGCAGGTGAGGTACACAACCCTTATTTGACAGGAAGAGAGAGCACAGTGTGGTCTGAGCATAACTGAAAACCTTAATGAATCTTAAAGGGAGTAGTTTCATAAAGACTGTCACTGTTCCTCTTGTAAAGAATCACACTTGAAATTACAACCCTTAAGATTTCAGACCTGGTTGATTTGTCGACACCTAGGGACTGGTGGTAGGTCTGAAGGCAAATGAGGTTTAATACTACAAGTCCCAGAATTCTGTGTGCAACAAAACAAAGGATTGTTGTTTTAATTAATTAATTAAAGAAGTCTGGTAATAATTGGCCTTTCTCGGTCATTCTGTGAGCAACGTGATCTTATCTAGTGTTGCACACGGCAGTGCAAACAGCAGGGTCCAGTGAAAGGAGTGGGTTACTGTGCTGAGAAGTTGGAGGTGTGCAGCTCTTCATCTAAATGTTTACTGTAACTGCTCCTTCCTGTTTCAGTACTCCCTCCAAAAGTTGATTTCCTAAAAATGTGAAAATTGAGTATTATCTTCTTTTGTAGGTGCTTTTTTGATTGACCATAGTGGTCTGTGCTAATCTCAAGCACTCTGGGACTACTTCAGAATGAATGTCAACTTGTGTTTCTCCAGTGAAATGCTTTTAATGTGAAGGTGCAGTATCAGGAAATTGTTCAGTTTGCATTAGAAGTAACATAACACAGCATTTTTTCCCAGGAATGTCACCACTGACACCCAGTTTGTAATACTGCAAGTGCAAGGACTTCCATCAGTGGGACTTAAGTTCAGTCACCATTATGTTACCTCATTTGACAATGAATATCAACTGAACAGAAGATGCCAGAAGCAGTGTGACACTCACACAGCCTCATCAAAAACAACTGAAACACTTTGCTCCAGGCTGCACGTCATTAAGACACAACGAAACAACAGCAGGTTTAACTCCCATACAGCATATATCTACTTTGATAACAGGCAGTAATAATAAGAATAGACAGACTCCAAATCAAAACCTTTATTTAAACATGACATGACACAGGATTTTGAATACAGTTATCACCTCAATGTGTTGATTTGCAGAACAGATAATGGCAGTAAAATGCTGATTGATGATTTTGTGATGCATGTGTGAGGATGAAGAGTAATACATTTATATGCATAAGCCAGAAAATGTCACAGTATATTCCTTCATTACTCCTTTATACAGTATAGACAGTGTGGTAGTTCTCTATGCTGTTTTTATGACCTTGTGAGGGAAGGGGTTGCAGAGAGGTGAACGTCAATCTTCCTGTGGTTCATGCCTCACCAATGATACAGACACTTCTAATAGTCAGACATTTTGTTTTTGATTCAGACTTTTAGCATATGATAGGGATTCTATGAAATCGGTTACATTTCTCACACTAATGGACTGTATGGTTTTTCAAAGCCTTTTTGGGAAGTCAGCCCGTATTCACTGCTTCTATTATTAGAAAGCTTTGATCTAACGGCCCTCATGGTTTTCACCTCAGTTATTCTCCGACCACGCTGTACTGTCTCTTCCTGACAAACAAGTGATGTTTACCTCACTCGCTCCTCCACCGCTGACGACCTCCATCAAACTCACTATAACAGATTGGACAAATATCAATGTCCTTACTGGCTCCTCCTCCTAAAACATCAGTCCTTTATATTTCTGCTAAGCACTGACAAGAAATGAAAATAAATGAAATGTTGAGAATTGAAGCATGAAACTGCTTGCAAATGAATGAACATCAGATCATTATTGCAATTTTCACATGTGGTTATTGCTGTTAGGAACAAGGCATTCAACAGCTCTAAAGCACATTCATATGATACAGCATCAGTTCCAGTTGCCTCCTCAGTCTATCTGGTGGCAGCATAAATAACATTTGGCTCCGGCTGTCTTCTGTTTGCCTTTGGTCGAAATGCCACTGCTGCGTAGTTCAGGTCAGAGTCTGCATTCTGTGAAAAGAGTATTTACAGTCTGAATGTGGTGGATTGACATTATTTTAATTAATCCAATATAGCCAGATGGATACTGGACTCAAGAGGCTGATACCAATATTGATATTTTGTCAATATTAATTTCTAAATACGTACGATTGTAAGACTTTACAACACGGTACACGTCAAGAACATCCTTAATCCCTCATAAACACTTACTGAAATACTCCAAACCCAGGACTACATAGCTATATATACTATATTATGTATATTATGAACTAGAAAACATTGCTGGGGAGAGGGACGTCTGGAGCCCCCTGCTTAATCTGCTGCCACGGCAACCCGACCACGGGTAAATAGATGAAATGGATGGATGAATGGACTATATTATGTAGCATACTTCCTATAATGTATCACTTTACTTGAGGGGACATAAAATAATCTCCCCAGTCAGTTCTCTAGAAAATCATCTCTATCTACTATATAGTCCTCCATTTGGAGTTATTCACTAACTACTTCTTAACAATTCATTAATTATCAGGTCTTTCCTCACTCGTTCCTTAGTAACCACACACAATGTTGTGTACCGTGTTGTAAAGTGTGACCCATACATTCCTGATAAGATGTCCTTACGTTTGTTCTTTAAAGGATTGTGACAAAGTTTAAAAATAAACTTGATAGTGCTCTCTAATGGACAAACTACAACATGGAGGCACTGTTTGAACTGTACCTCAAACATCATTTTGTCATTTCTTTACTGCATTTTCTTGTTACTTATTCAATACAAATATGCACTTATATATATGAATACACCAATATGTCAGGGACAAGTTAATGTTAGCCGAGTCAATATAGCTCTGGCGAGTAAATGTTAAAATTGGATTCACCTCTCTTTGCTCTGGATTCTGTTCTTCTTTATCAGCTAAGTGACAGAAACAAAACATCTGGTCAGTTCATTGATCATTGTCATTTTTCAATCATACTGACACAACTTTAAACAACAAGAAATATATGTAAGATAGAGACAGTAGCACTGACAAAAAGTACCTGTCTGAAGTTTCCTGTTTTTGACAACCAGACCAATGATGACCATTACAAGGACAACAGTCAGACTGCCCAGGACGACAATCACCAGCTTTGCTATTCCATCAGACTCTTCTACAAAAAATAACATTAAGTTAGACGCTATTTCCCCTTTAGAGACTTGAGAGCTGGCTAAAACTGTTTCACCTTCAAACATTTGATAATCTGCACAATGAAAGAAATATTTAGGAGAATCTTACTTTCACACTTGTTGTCCACGTCATCATGTGGCTCATCGCTGCCTCCTAAAGAAATAAGGATACCTTTAGTCTTGATATTATTTTGGCAGATTTTCCTCATAACAGTTTGTCAGTCTTTAAATTGTCACTATGTTGCCTGTGTTGTTAGAAGATAATTGTGAGAATCTGAACAAAGAATGGTTACCAGAAGAAAGACTTTACTTACCTTTAACATGCAAATTTATCACACTGAAATTCGGATGTCCACTTTCGTAACATCCACAGAGATACAGTCCAGAGTCAGATAAATCCACATGTTTGATCCTGAGAAAGACAGTGGAGATGTTGGATATCATTTCATATTTTCCTTTTTGAAATCCGTTGCAGTGTTTAACTTCGTCATCAGCTCTGATCATAACAGTGATACAGCTGGCCTTTGTACCGTTGACCAGTTTGACCCAGAATATCGCAGAGCCACCTTTGGACATGTTGGTACTCAGCAGTCTGACTGTATCACCAACCTGAGCCTCCACAGTCTGAGACTCAGAACCTGAGACAGAGATCCAGCCTGAAACACACAAGATTTACTTTCAATGAGACAAAAAGAACATGAACAATAACTCTTACATAACTCAATACTTTCAGTCCTGGTTAGTTAGAGCTACCAAAGTTATAAATGTAATTCAATGCCAGTACTCACTGAAGCTGCAGAGACTTAAAGCTGTTATCAAGGTAAAGTTCTTCATGGTGAGTGTGACTGAAGCTCTGCAATGTCCACAATGAACTGTGCTTCAGTAAGGCTGCTTTCTACATAAAGAGGCGGGCTGTTTGTAGTTGCTTATCCTGTTACTCAAACTGACCACATACACGCTTTCAGGAAAAGAAGTGTTGATGCAGAATGTTAGCTGTTCTAAGTTATACTTCAGACCATTTGACAGTACTTTAATAACAGACATTGATATTATGTAATGACACATCCAATCCTTTATGTAAGATTCCTGAAATAAAGATCCTGACCATAGAATAGATCAATCATCAGCTCAGCTCAGGTTGCCTGTTCATTTATAATGCTTAAAATATTTTCTAGGATGACCTCTGCTAAAGAAGCACTCATACAGACGCTATAAGTTGTCCTACAGTTGTGTAAACCTTTTTGCTCAGGCAGGATCTTTTTGTTTTAGTACAGAGGTGGTCTGCACAGGCTGATTTCAGAGTTTCAGTTACTCCCCATTTTCTTTACGTCTTCCACTCTGCACTGTCTTGTAGAAGCTGTAGCTTTAGTTTAAAGCTTGAGTGAAGACACTCTTATCATATGAACCTAGATGACCTAACACACCCACTGGTATCAACCATGTCATAGTTATGGTAAATGGTAAAAGGACTGTACTCAGTGACGGCTGGTGGAGATTTTGGGTGGGTGGGCTAACAAATGCATTACACTCATCAATACGCCACACAACAGCAACAGCAGCAACTGTAGCATCAAGTTACAGCAACAACATTGTATATTTTGTTATAGTAAGGGCTCTACGGCAACACTGGGGAGACATACCCAAAAGAATGACCTGATGCCAAAAATCTCTCTCTCTCTCTCTCTCTCTCTCTCTCTCTCTCTCTCTTCTCTGTACACATCAGCACATGCCAATTGCACTACAACATTATAGAAAAGTACCAGCAACAATTTTAACACCATGTACCAGAAAGCAAAATAGCAAAAAGCAAAAATAATTATTTGTAGAAGAGAGTTGTTTCAGAGCTTGGGCATACCTTATTTAAAACGCCGCTCACATCGACGGCCTTTCTGTGATGCAAACAGGTTAATCACCATGTCAAACTCCACACTGCTGTACCTCACCATCAGCTCACCTTTCAGTTTCTCCATGCAGATCATTGGGTAATGTTCACATGCAAAGACAACAAGTGCCTGGCTTTCTCAAAGCGCACTGTGCGGCTACTGAGACATTATCAGAGCGCCACATCCTGCGCGGCGTTACAGCGGCTGCAGCTGTGTCCGCATCTGGATGTGGCTGATTGTCATCTTTGGTCAGCAGTTCAGATATGAAGCACAAAAAATTCTCCAGGCCCTGTCTCGTTTTGAGAGAATCTGTGGTCTTAGACGTGTACTTCGCAACCTGTGTGTTTGACAGGTGATCGGCTGATTGACTGTCTAAAAAAGAGAACTGGTTGCTGCTGGGTGAAGTGGGAGATTAATCGGACCCCGCGGGCGAGCTCAGTCCCCCACAAATGTATGCAGTCCACAATCCGTGATAGTGAATGCCTGTTTCTTACCGGTTGTCTTACGTGGTACTTTAGCTAAGGATGTTCACTTTACCCAGCAATGACAGCTTTACACTATTTCTGATATGGCTCGTGCTGCTTTCATGTTTCCTAATTTTGTTGGATAAATATCAGTTCCTTGTTGGGTCCAAGCAGTGTCTCCTCCAAAAAACAAACATGGGAAACAGAAAAGTTAATTCCTAGCTACACTTGTCGTTAACCAGTCCGTTAGCTGAAACCACGTAACACAAAATTACGATTTTGTCGTTTGTTCTTTTGTGTTATTTGAACATCATTTTGATGATGTGTCCCCAATCTCTGTACTTCCAATGTTTCCTCCAAAGACTTTAAAGAAAATTGATTAGAAAGTAAATAATCCACCTCGTTCATGTTCATGCTAACGCCCGCCATACTACGAACTGGCCTCACTGTACTATAGCTACTGCGCTGTGATTGTACTGTAGCTACTGCGCTGTGATTGGTCGAAGGTCACTGTACTGTTGCTACTGCGCTGTTATTGGTTGAAGGTCACTGTACTGTAGCTACTGCGCTGTGATTGGTTGAAGGTTAGCCTTTGGGTTGAATGAATTTAGCCCAAATGGGCAGCATATGAAGGGGGCGTGTCACGACACCTGTCAATCAAAAGTGAATGGAAGTTTACACTACTGTATTTAGCCCATTCACAGGAAAAAACCCAAGATATATATCCTGGGTTTTTTCTGTCACTTTTTGGTGCTGTTGCTGCTCTAGGTTCTACCAAAATTCAAAACAATATGTTCTAATGTTTTTAATAATAGTTTTTTAACTTTACTGTAAAAGATAGGGGGGGCTTAGCCCTGTTAGCCCATATATACCAGCCGTCCCTGACTGTACTTATATAGCGCCTTTATAGTCTTTCAACCACTCAATGCACTGTACACTACATGCCACATTCACCCCATTCATGCACATTCATACACTGATGGCAGTGGCTGCCATGCAAGGTGCCAACTTCTCACCAGAACAGAAACTAAGCATTCACACAGTCATACACTAATATATGGCATCAGGAGCAATTTGGAGTTCAGTATCTTGCTCAAATAACCGCCTTGAGCCACAGCCACCCTTTATGATGACAGCAAGGGGGCTAAATAGCAGTGGAAAACTGGCATTGTCATTTTCAAAGTACTCCCTTGACCTCTGACCTTAAGATATCTGAATGGAAATTAGTTCTATTGGTCTCCCTTTTGCAGCCTTGCCCACCTTTTGCAAATCCCACACTTTTTTTTTTGCATGTGGTATGAATGTGTTCTCTTTTGCCTAGTGCATTTGTATATTGACACAGTGACGTCCATAAACAGTACTGGAATTGCATAAATATGGAATGCCTAGAAAATTTACACATGCTTCATGCCACCCCTGAATATGTCAGTGCCCCACTCGTGCCACCCCAAAAGGTACCAGGTCAGGACTTAATGTATGATGCACTTTTTAGTTTAGGAAATGTTTTTTTTTATTTAGTGTGTAATAGCTACACACTTTTACAATTGTGGATTGTGGGAAAAAATAATTATTAATTTCCATATAATTTTTGTGGAAGTCACAGGGTGCCACTGGAGAGGGACTAAGGAGCCGCATGTGGCAGTTTGTCTACCCATGGTCAATGATAGTCCATACAGCTAGAAAATGTATATTGACTGAAATCATAAAGGTAATATCATTATGATAACATCCATTTCAAATCCCACATATTCAACATACATATATTCACCACATATACCATACATGAGTCTCAACAGACAAGCATGTGAACAACAACTTGACTGTCAGGCAGAGGCATACAACACATTGAAACAATATGGCGCCCCTCCGTCCTCTGTGATCTGTCTTAAACATGTGCAGCCTGTAGAGTGGATGGTTTCATATGAGGCTGTCTCACTGTACCACTAGTATCACAAGTAGCAAGTATCACTGTGCTTCAGATATAGTTTCACACGTTTGATAGAGGAGCGTCAGTCTTTCAGATGTGTAAAGATACAGATACAGATATCTCCCTGAAATAGACTGTGCTGTTTGTCACCCCAGTACATGTGCATGGGCATGTAGGTGGCATATATATTTATATTCATTAATACAACCACCAATCTTTTTAAAATACATTGTATTTTAAATTCAGACATGTAACACATTGACATCACAGTTAAAATATCCAGTTTGCACACTGATGTTTGGCTAAAAAAACACTATTTGCTGCTTCATTTGAGACTTTATTCGCACAAAACTTTGATGGAACAGACCACATGGTTTAAACCTCAGATGTGCTCAGACCACACTGTACTGGTGACGTGTACCTCACTCACTCCTCCACTGCTGCAGGCCTCCATTTATCTGTTATCTATCTGGATCACTGTTTCCTGCTACAGACGAGTCCACACTGCGCTGCCAATGAGCGCAGCTTAACTCGCAGTGTGTTACCTCCAATGACTCCAACAAACTGTCAAATTCCATTTTTCATTATAGTCTTATATTTTCTATTATATCTTTATAATATTTGTATTTTTTATTATTTTGTGATTCTTTATTGTGCTTTGAACTTCTGTACTTGCACTACATCCTCCTATGTTGCTGTGTCTGATTTGAATTTCTAGTACGGGAGATCAACAAAGGAATATCTTATTACGTCAATGGACAAGGTCAAAGTCTTAAATAAAAATATTTCATATACATACATATACAGGTACCATCATCATGATGAGATCCACTTAGCCCAAAAATATACTTACTGTTGCCTAATACTGATGCCTAATAACTAATACTTATACCTTTTACTCTATTCCCTCCAAGTATTCACTACATTTACCATATATGAGTCTAAAGACACAAGCATGTGAACTACAACTTGACTGTCAGTAGAGATGGGATTTACAGCTCTCTGAAGGGAGGGAAAGGATCTTGTGAAAGCTGTTCAAATATATTTATTTATTTTTAAGAAGCAAGCCTGGGGGTAACTCATTTTATCCGGTAAATAATCACTGGGAGGAATGATAGGGTAAGATTTAGATCAGAATCATTCAAACGTATTCATCCCACCAATATACTGTATATTCTATTGGTGGGTTATCTGAGTAATGAGGCAAATATTACACTTTTCACAAAAGTGCACCCAGATGCGGCTGCATTTGACTTTCTTTTGTCTACTGACTACTGAGGCTCACGTGAAGGCAGTGTGCACAGCTCAGGTGACGTCATGCGATATTTGCATATCAAATAAGCACCCCACATGTAGTCTGCTGCACTTCTCCCCTTGTACCTGTTGTCCGTCTCACTCAGTGGATTAGCAAAGGAGGAGCTTGTGTGTGTATGCTGTGTGAAACACAGCGATATAAAAAAAAGAACGACTCGGTTTCCATCGTTCTTGTTTAAGAGCCGTTCAGTAGATTTGGTTTGTTCGTTAATGTCACAACTCTGTCAGGAAGAAGCATACAACATATTAAAACAATATGGCACCCTCCGTCCTCTGTGATCTGTCTTAAACATGTGCAGCCTGTAGAGTGGATGGTTTCATATGAGGCTGTCCAAGTATCACTGTGCTT